AGCAATTATAATATTATGTTGCCTTTCATTGATTTAAAAAAAAAAAAAGAAAAAAAAGAAAAAAAAAAGAAAGAAAGAAAGAAAAACTACATTGCATTCTTAGATTATGAATATGCGATAAATATTTTTTTTTATATGAGAAGTATTTTTTTCTGTGCTAATAATTGTTCATTTAAAGCGCAATTTTTAAGTTGAGAGATAAGGTTCAAATTTATAATTACAAAAATATTTGCGCTTTTTATCTTTTTAATTTTCTGATCTTTTTCATCGTTTTTATTTTAACATTATTTAAGAGAAATTAATGATTGCTCAAGAGATATAAGTTTAGTATTAAGTTAGTATTTAGGATTTTTCTTAACCTTATCTTTTTTTTTAAATAATATATTACGTGTAATTTCATAATTTATAAAATTAACTTAAACCAGAAACTATTAATTTCATTTGTTGCGTTTTAAATGAATAATTTTGTATTTGTTTTTATAAAAAGTACAAAGAGCTGTGAAATTTTTTTTAATTCTAATTTTATTTTTTAATGATTTATATTTAATAATATATTCTATTTATAAAAATCATATTTTATTATAGAAATTTCAATCAAACACTGTGAATTATAAAATTATATAAACAAGCGTATAATGGAATAAAAAGATATAGTTTCAATTTTTTGAAACTACAAAGCGCTTTATACTAAAAAATATTATTAAAGAGAACTATTATAGTTCTAATAATAATATTAAACAATGCGATTATTATCAAGAAATTTTTATATATCAGAAAACTAAAAATCACTTTTTGTGAAACTACAAAAAATTGTTAATATTTAGTGACTTTAACAGAATCGACGAAAATCTTTTGTACTATCAAAAGATCATTATAAATTTAATGACATTTTTTGTAAGTAAGTATGCAATGAAATGCTCAGAATTTTCAACATTTGATATTTCATATCATTATATAGATAATTTTTTTCTTCTTAATTTAGGAATTAAAATTGAGATGTGGAGAAGTTAATGTTAATTATAATGAAAAATTATCACAAAATTGTGAATTTACAATCAATTGTCATATTCAAGAAATTAGAAATGTCTGAAAGAGATAAATTAATGTTAAGAGATAAAAAAGTAAATATATATTTACTTTTATATATTTAATTATCAAAAGTACAAGTTTATCTTTATTTTGCAATAATTTTAAACAAGTAAATTAATTCTCTATAAAATTCTCTAGTTATAATTCTCTTCTGTTATATTAACATTTATAAGCTTCTTAAAATATTTAGAAAAAACAATTAAAAATACAATAAATATATGAAAAATCCTGTATGGATTTTTTTATAATCTTAAAAAAAAAATTTTTAGAGAAATATTAAAATGAATATAGAATATTGGAAAATTTGATATTCATTGTTCTAATAAGTTTTTTTATTATGTCAAAAATATTGAAAATAAATAAAAAAATAAGTAAATTAAAAAAATTATGCTATATTAATATTATACAATTTCAAAGTTCTATAATAGAGAAATAAATAAAAAAATATAAAAAAAGACAAATGATAAAAACAAATCGCCTATTAGTTATATATAACTTATTTAAATTAATCGTATAGTATATTATATTATAAAGCGCATCTTTAATGAACGTATAGTATTTTAAGAGGCTTAATTTCCAAATATGCCGCGCATGGCATCTTGGCATAATTGCTCGTAACGAATTTTTCCTTTTTATATATAGTAATATATGTTTTTGTTGTATAAAGTATTATTATTCATAAATCTATTTATATTTTATTAAGTCAAAAATAGAGATTGCCTGGAGAAATATATATGGACTTGAGGGGTAAGTGTATATATCACAGAATATAACTTTAAAAATCGATACTTTCTGTGGATCACTTTGTTTCTATATTTATCAATAGTGAACATATTATATATATATATAAAACTGCATATAGATTTTAAACGATACACGAGCTAAAATTTTGTTCAAATTTTTATGTTACCCTGGTCCTTCTGCATCTAGCGTGCTAAATTGTATGTATAGGAATTATTAAATTTACAAAAATCGAAGTTTCAGTTAAAAATTCAAGTTACTAACATGTTAATAACTAAGGATAAATTATTTTCAAAACTATATAATTATAATCTTATAATACTAAATAAAATTTACTATTTTATTTAATTCACTAAAAATACATATTTGTATATTTTTTTTATAGTTTCATTAATTACTGCATTTTAATTAACATGCTAGTTTCTATGAATTCCCTTAACTATCGATTTTATGGATGTTCAAATTTCATCAAAGTCGATATTCGAAAATTCAAAATAATAAAAATAACAGATAAAAAATTGAAATTTGATCATCATCAAACATTGATAATGATTGATGGTGGTATTGATGATGATTATATTGATAATTATAAAGAAATATTGTATGATTTAATAATATCTAAATCTTTTGTGTGCTTCGTTATATATTGATAAATTTGCCATTTTTGTATTCTCTAAATACAAATTCTAGTCACTTGTGCCTTTGTCAAATCGAACAAACTTTTCGATTTTCGAACTTGAAGTTTGTAAAAATCGTTATAAAAAATTTAGTACCGTTTTTTATGCGCTCTTAAATCGAATCTTTTGTATAAGATGTAAAAAAAAAAAAAAATTAATTTCTTCATTAGGATTAATTAAAAATAGCATATTAATATAAATCAATAATATTAAAAGAGTTGTACATATATACATATATAAACATATCGCTCATTTGTTATGACAATAACACAACTCAAAATTTGTTTTTTAGTTATTTTAACAGAAAAAAATTTGATGTTTATACTTTTTGTTATTAAAATCTCTATGAATGCGTTTTCAAATAATTGCATTTTTAATTTGACATTTCGTGCGATTCTTGATGAGAATTTAAAACATTTTAAATTATTTTTGAGTTATGTTCATTCTTTTATCGAATAAGCGATATAAGATATATGTGATAAATTACATAAAAAAATTTTATATGAAATCAATTTCCATCGTGATAAGTGAAACAAGTATATAATTCATATTTTATATCACATTCAAAAAAAATTCTGATTATGAATTTCATTGTATTTTGCACACATTAAGAATTTATAAATCATTATCGAAGTTGTAATACTAATACTATATAATAGCTTTAAGTATTGTATGATAAAAGTTGTTCTGTTCTTACTCGATTATGATCGTTGATAGAAAAATCAATATTTCAAAAACATAATGTAGTAATCGATAATAATAATATATTTAATAATATTTTTAAAATAAAAACAAAATTATTCTTTTTGCGTAACAAATTCGTTCAGCGTGAAAAGAGAAAAGTATGCATTTCATTTATTATAAATAACAAATTGTCGTTTCTCATTGTAATTCGAAATATTTAACAATATTTTGGCTCGTTACCGTAAGATAAGAAATTTTAAATCATATGTTATGTAGATTGAGGCATTTTTAATAATTCTAAATATTCTTATTGCTTATTCAAAAATATATTATTTTTATTTTTAAATGACTTGTGCATTGTAGAGAAAAAAATCATTTTTATTACTATATTGCTATTATTTTAATTTTTTTAATAATATGTATTTTTGTAGCTATGAATACAAAACATTGATTAGAATATTTTTGTAGATAGGGATTTCAAAACTGATTTATGTTAATTCAATAGAATGATTTTCAATTAATTTAATCATTATACTATTAATATTTAATTCTTTAAATAATTGCAATTTGGAATTAATATTAACTATACATATATATATATATATATATATATGCGTGTATGATTTTTATAGAGGTTATATAAGAATTATACTATTTATTTTTTCGAGCGACAGGATTTATAGTGTAACTTTTGTCTCTTTTTTATCAAAAAAACAATTATCATATACGAATGTTATAAATTATAAATAATAATAATATATTTTGATCATTTTAATAATATGATATGTTACATTTGAATATTTAATTATTAATGTTTTATTATTGCTTTCGAAAATATCACTTCTGTTTAATTTATTTTTAAATATAATTTTTGAATAAAATATAAAATAATTAAAATAAAAATTGTAAAATAAAAGATAAAAAATTAATGTTTTAGTAATAATTTATGAAAAAAAAAATAAAATTAGAAAATTTAAACAAAAAGCATCATAGCAATCATATCAAAATGATATTGATATAATTCGTATTAAAAATTAAATAAATAATTATTTACAAATAATTAGCAATCTGAATAAAATATAAATTAAATTTTGATATTAAAAATTAATTATTACAAAATTTATTTTGCATAATTATATAATAATTTGTATATATTCATATAAATTTCATGTAAATTCATATTCATATAAGTTTTTAAAAATATTTACACAAGTCATTTGAAACAATTTAGATGAGCTTTCAAAATGTATGATTTTAATGCCTCATACTGCATACATTTTTCCGAATTAAATAGTAAATATATTAAATAAGGTAAGTGTTAAACTGAAATTAAAATTTTTTAAGTTATATTGCATATACAATTGTCAAAAGTACAAATTATGTGATATATATATATATATATATAAAAATATAAAATAACATATTTTTTTAGAATAAAAAAATTTTAAATATAACAATAATAATAAAAAATAATTAGCTTAAATTATTTTTATTTTGTTAAATATATTTTAATAATTTCAAGTATTTTATTTACTATATAAGTATTTTCAATATTATTTTTTTTCATATTCCTTTATACAAAAATTAATTTGTAATTTTTATTTTTTAAATGTACAAACAAAATGTATTTGACAGAACTTTTTTAATTAACAGTTTAAATTAAATTATATTATGATTCGATTTTAATTTTATTGTTAAGCCATGATATTTATCTATGATTAACAATTTATATTTCGAATAACTTTATAAATATGTTTATATAAATATGCACAAACAAATTTTTTTAATGACTAGATATAGATTTTATTTTGAAAACCATTCTATATGAGCTAGGCTTACATATTTTTAATGAGATTTATCTATGTTTTTTATGCATATCTAATTAAGAATGAAGATTACAAGCGGTAAGTTTTTTTTCTATCATACAATTTACATGATAAGCGTGACCGCAATCAAATATTGCAATTCCATTATTACCTAATAAAACTGGTGTTTGAAGAGACAATGTACAGCAAGAACATGTAGATAATTTATTTTGATAATGCATTCCCCAATGATGAGCTCCATTCTCAAAAATATTTCTATTAATTGATTTATTTAAGTCTTTTTTCAAGAACTTCTACTAGCTGATCTCGAATCTGTAAGAGTATGAAAACATAAAAATGTATTCCTAAATTTTTAAGTTAAAATATTAAAATTTTATATATTTAATTAAATATAATGAAAGTATTATTTTTATGATAATTAGAATCTTTTTTATGTAAAATCAATTTGAAAATTTAAAACAAAATCCTTTTTTAACATGTTTTTTGTTTATTTAAATATGAAAAGAATAATTACCTTTGTGGAACATATTGTATTATATTCAGATGATTCTAGACTATGTTTATTAAAATTAATAGTATATTTCATTCCATGTTGATATAAAAGCTTTGTAAATATTAATGACTGAAATATACTGTAAGAAATTAAAATCAATGTAAAAATCATATGTACTTATTTATTTTTACCTAATTTTAAATATTTAAATATTTATAAAGATAAGATTCACCTTCTATCTATAGGAATACTTGGAATAGCTTTTTCTAATTTTATTAGTAATGTCATGGCAATGTCAGGTCCCTGTTTTTTCATGATTTCATATATCACAGCAGTCCAATTTATCAATTCTTCATGATTTTCTTTTTTTATAGACTTTCCACAGAACAGGCATTGTCCTTGCTGAATTTCTTTTGCATATGTTGCTACAAGACTCCAATGTTTTCCATCTAATAAGGTAAAAGAATGGAAAATAAAATATTATCTCTAGCTTGAAGACATTGATGTACTAAATCATTCGTTAGTGTACTATATTGTTCTATATATAGTGGCAAATATTCTCGCCACATGTAAGGTACTTTATTACATAATATTATACATTGTTCTTTATATTCATCTAACATTTTTTTAATAAGAGATCTACCAATGTCTAGGAACTTTGGTTCTATGAGTTCATTTATTGGATATGGACTACCACAGGTACACCTTCTGCTTTGTACATTCACATTTACAAAAGCTTTCATTATTTGTTTTATAATATTTTCATTATCTACAGTTTGTATTAATTGTATTGAAATATTTTCTAACAGAACATTAAAATAATGTAGTTCTACGCTTCTTAATACTTCATATATAAAATTCTTTAAATCAGTCAAGTTTTGATATGAATCTTTGATAACATTCATATTCCAATCTATATCCAGAATTATTTTTTCTAATTCTTCTTCTTCCGTTGAAGATTTAATATTATCAACTAAAGTATATATAATTTGCAAATCTTCTTGTATTTTCTGTGTTACACTTTTATTGATATTCAGTTCTCTAGTTTCATTTGGACTTTCTTCTATTTCTTTCGATGTATTACAATTTGTATCTTCATCTTTTTTCACTTTTTTATCAGAATCATTTAATCGGTCATTGATCGATGCTTTCATCTCTATTTTGAAAAGATCTTCATTATCTTGTAAAGAACATTGAGATCCAGGAGGAAGCATAAAAGTTTCTTTATCTTTCAAATTCGAATTTCCACAATTAACAACTACAATACCTGAATCTAATTTTTTTGGAATCATTTTTAAATTAGATTCTAATAAAAGTATTAAAGGATGTAATAATGTAGACAATTCATCATCTCTAAATATTTGCAATTTAGTCTCTATATCACAAATATTGTTAATTTCAGTGTTATCGAATAATTTTTTTAATTGTAGTTTATATATGAGACATATTTCTAAACATTCATAATATTTCTTTTTATTATATAATCGCAATATTAGAGAATCTAAGGAAGATAAAATTAAACAATGGAATTCACCATTAGAAGTCATCAAATATATATTATTCTCTATAGTTTCTGCAAAATTTATATTTGAAAATTCATTATTCCATAGAATTACAGTTGCAGTCATAGGATCAATAATATATAGGCCAGTGGAAGTATATGAAAATAAATACTTTTCTGCAATAATAAGTAGATGGGAAAAATTTATAGACTGTGGTAACCAGGTGTGTTCAATTTGTTTCTGATAATTAGATTTTCTAATGTTTGATCTACATATCAGTGTTGGTGAAATAGCAAATGCTTCTTTAAATTGATGAGTTTTCATAACTATTCCATTTGCAGATACTTCCCAAAGTCTAGATCCTGGTCGAGCACAAAAGATTTGAGTAGAGTTTTCTTCTTCTTGCATTTTACTATTACTCTCTGCAATAAAATTAAAGGAACCTTTTTTATTGATTACTTTTTCTTCCTTCTGATTAATCAAAGTATTTTTATTTTTTATAAGGTATGTTTTATAGAAACAAGCACCAAATTCTCCATTTCGTGCTTTATTTCCTATTTGTTTATATTGTTCTTGTACTGTATCACATATATAACAACGAGTCAATGTCGACACTAACAATAAAGATGATGAGAAATTAAGTTGCACAATGGCTGAATCTAAATTCATTAATGTACAGGCTGGTGCTTGAAATATACCATTCACCTAAAAAATGATTATATTACTGTATTTATAATTTTTATATTTAAAATTTTATTCAATGTAATATATAATATTTTATAATAATAATTATATAATGTGTAATTTTTGTATAATTAAATAATTGAATTGATAAATAATCAAATTATATTAATGAACTTTATAAATAGAAGTAATAAGAAAAAAATTTAATTATTGCGTTAGAATAAAAAAAAATATATTTTTATATTATTCTATTCTTCTCTTATTATTTTAAATATTTTTGGCTTTTTTTTGTATAGAAATTTTATTTTATAAAAATGATTTATAAAATATTATATGATTTGTAAAAAAATATAATAAAATTATAATATAGTAAATATATTAAAGATATTTCAAATTAATATTAATATTAAAATAAAGACTTACTGTAAATATAGATAGCACCAAAACAGAAATTTTTCCATTTTCATCACCAATATATACTTCAGAGCTATTATCATTCCAACAAAGGCAGTTAATTTGTTTATGAATATGCTCAGTTGATATAGCTATCAATTTTGGTATTGGTTTTAATACTACTAGACAAACTATACCACGAATTGTTGTCAAAGCAATTGTTTTCTCATCAGGTGATATGAGAATATGAGAAACTATTCCTTCCTATTATTATTATAAGAACAATAATTCAAAATTATTTTAATATTTTTATATTAAACAAATATAAATTATCATATTTTTATTATAATTAAATGAAATTTATGTACCGATAAAGGTATTAATTGTATAAAGGAACATGGTTTTCTTGAAAATAGATAAATACTGCCACTGGTTGAACCCAATAAAATATAATTAGAGGATACATTAAAACATGTATACTGTAAAATAATAAGAAATTAATATTAGTATAATAATATTAACTTTGACATTTAATAAAAAAATTATTTTTATTATAATAAAAATTTGTTATACATCATATATTTAATTTTATTAGAAATTTATTTTATTCATTTAATTTATTTAAAATAATTAATTTAATTGTTTTTCAAGTAAATACTTTATAAAGTTAAAAAATTGTTACATTCATAATTTGCACAATTTAAAATTCTAATTTAATATGTAGGAACTTTATTTAACAATAAATTAATATATGCATAAAAAAATAAGGTAAATATAATCAATAATGAATAAATTATTGTAATGACAAATAAATTAATATACAATGTATTATGTTGCATAAAAATTATTTTTCAATTTTAAAAAAATACCTTAATTCGTTGAGTTGAATTGATAGGTTTATAAAGAAGAGGATTTATTTCCTCATATTCTGATAACACGTAAGGATACTCCTGCATAGTTCCTAAAAATACGTGCTAAAAACGATAGTTAAACACGACAATAAACAATGAATAAACTACCATAAATTTTGACATGTATACACAATTTACTATACATTACGCAAAATGTATATTATATATTTATATCTGTTCAAGCATTGAATAGATATATATAGAGAGCATATTCTTATTACTATTATCTCTATTAGTTCTTTGAATTTAAAAAGAAAAAAAATCCTAGCTTATATATTAAAATATATATATGTACATGGAACATGCATATAGATTAAGAATTTAAAAATTCATGTTCTTAATAGACACATATATATAATATAGATATGTAAGCTGATTTCTAAAAAATTTATATTTTTAAAAATCAAAAATACGAATTTATAACAAAAAAAAATATAATCTGAGAGAAAGTGGTGCATAAAAATTTTTTTAAATTTCATTTATCTGTTTTATATTAATAATATTTATATAAAATACTTTTTGTGTTGCCATATTCATAAAAATTAAATTTAATTATCTTTTAAATATAGCTACGAAATTCGATATATAATATCTCTTAAGTTATATAAAAAATATAATATATATATATACATATATATTATACATTTTATTTACATATATATGATATATAAAACTTTAAAAATATATAAAGAATTTAATAATATATAATGAAACAAACTAAATATATTTGTACATTGGACAAAGAAAATTGAGTAAAAAATTTATGAATCTGTAACACCATCTTGCGGATAGATGCTAAAAGCTCCGATTTATTAATAGCAATGTAAAATGTGCAAAGTATTCGTGACGTTATAAAAGAAAGCAATATTATGTAAAAGAAACTATGCTACAGTTTGTAACATTTCCTTTAAATCAGAAATTAATAAAATCAATTAATTAATTTAATAGAAAATTAATTTTTTTATTAAAAAATTTTATTTTTTTAAGTTATTTTTTAGGTTGCAATTAACTTTAAATTTTCTTTTTCAAATGAAATGGAATTAATATGGAATTCTTTTTAATTAATTATTAATTAATGATTAAATAATGATTATGAAATTTATTTCTGAATAAGCGTCTCAAATATGTTTTTTTATTTCTTCTTATTCATTATTTCATATTTATTCTAAATTTACTATAATTTTTACTATAATATTCAATTATTATAATTTTACTATTTGAATAAATAAATTAATTGTTTATTATTCAATTAAAGATCGAAAATTTGCAACTAAAATATTCTCTATGATAATTAATGATATATCATTAATGAATAATTAATTGGAAAAAATTTTTCATACAAATTTATATATTATATATATTGTTTAAGGTTTCAATTTTGAAATGCGAACTTATAAATACAGAAATTTTTAATGAATAATTAATTAAAATTTTTTATATTTTTGACATGAAACTATCAAAAATTAAAAGAAATTTATTTATAAGATTAACTAAAATTAATATTTTTCTGTTTTTCTCGCACAATATTGTTCTTATTTATGAAATGAATACCTTCTTACATGTTCTGTTTTCTTATTGATAACTTGGAAAGTTCAAAAATTTATCCATGAGATGGCACCACTAATATTAAATATTTCTATGTAATTCATAGAATACATGTATCAATAGTTAATAAAAAAAACAAATGTAATAATAATTTTATGTTAAAAAAAAAATAGAAATAGCGAATTTCTTAGAAAATAGAAAATAAAAAATAGAAAATAAGATACATATATAATAAAAATACAAAATATGTATATCTAGATAAAATATATTAAGATATATAAAAATAATATATATATCGCGCGCACGCATATATATGTGTGTGTGTATAATACGTTTTTATAATAAAAATATACAAGTATTCGTATATTGAAAACTATATAACTATATAATATGGATTGAAATTCATTTATTATATATATATATATTTAAATAATTAATCAATTCGATAAAATAATTATAATATATAATTTTTTATTTCTATTGTTTCTTTATTATTCAATCAAAATCAACATCAAATTTGATATCTAGTATTCTGTTAAATAATAAATACAATAAAGGTCGTGAATAACTTAAATGTATACTTATGAGTGTATATATATATACATTCATATACATACATATCACATATATACATTATATATATATATATATATATATATATATATATATATATATACT